AAAAAATATACAAATACCCTCAATTAATCCTCATTTAAGTAACATTAATTACAAAGAACCATCTTGGAAATAAATTTCAATTATAGAGAACCACGCATGTAATTAAAACTTATTGAGGATTGATTAAGAAAAATACCTTATTACAAAAGACTATTTTGGAAATTTACTCTAAAATATGGGGTCATGTTTCACGGCGTGTTTCAATTTATTGACTAAAAGGTAATGGTAGAGACAAAAGTATTAGTGGCAAATGAAAAAAATTATCCTCCCTAGAGGCGAGGGACAAAATCGTCTTTTTGTTGAATCCAATTTGAGTGCAATGAAACGAAATGTTGGGGCGGTTCACATGGCATTGCTATAATTCAGAGACCGTACGATAATTTGTTTTTAAAATTGATGAATCATACCCCTTCTAAGCCCTAATAAACACCCATCCTGCTTGCCCTGAATCTACCGCCTTACCACTTAATTGCATCTCCCAAATTTAATGGATTTTTGAATCAAAATTTTATCTCGTATCGAATTTGAGTGCAATGAGACAGACAGATGATAGATCATCATATTTAATGTATTTTGTTACATTATATTGGTGGAACATTTAACTTTATCTCGTATATAAGACTTTCTATTGTACCATATTTTTGAAAACGTGCTCCATGATTTTAAGCTCACATTCGCAGCTCCACTGGTATAAAGAGAGGATGCCAATCCCATAGATTCTGCAGTTGAATCTTGACAACAACAATGTAAGAATTCGATTCAGGCACGAAGCAGTTTCTCAAAGACGATGTTAAGAGTATACCATGATTTCTCTTCTCTCACTATCTTGTCGCATCAGGGTGCGGAGACACTGGAGGTAAGACTTATTGAATTATATTTCGAGCTTCTAAGATTTGGTTCGATTCAGATTTGATTTAGATAGGTGGAGCAACGGAGAGAATGGGTGGGAGTGGTAAATCCACGGGGTCAAACGCCCCCAAAAGGGCCGTTGCCGGAAAAGGAAAGGCTAGTGAAATCATTAATTGCAAACAAGTGTTTGTTTTGCAAAAACGACCAGATTTCGGAGGATGCAAAAGTCACCGGCTCCGGCCGTGCCCCTTCATTTCGAGATTAATTACAATTACCATATAACAGTGTCTTTACTCCTAAACAAGTAAATCCATTGGCCACAATACCCCCCACATCATATCCCCATTTATAGCAATAGAGACGACTTTATTTTTTTTTGTTGTGGTTCATTTGTCATTTCCAACGTGCCCATAAATTTCAAATGTACTCACCTCTCAATCTCTCTCCAGTCCTAATAGGGAGCACCTTTTTTAATTTAGTTCACATTGATGAGGCTATTGTTGGTGTCTTGGTGGTCTAAAAAATTTAAGCTTAGGACCATGTGTTATGGTGAAGACTTGATGGAATAACACACAGATGTCTTATAAGCAGGTGAGTGTAAGTAAAACATGATAAAAAAGTGTACGTGAAAATACTGATTGTTTTGATTGATTATTTTTTTAGATAGAGGAGACAATGTCGTCGTAGAGAATACGCATATGGCTAAAAAATAGCGCGAGAGAAGTGGATGTAATGAGGAACGGGAGGGGAGGGGGAAGGGAAGGAGGAGAGTGATCAACTGATCAAGTCCCTACTTACGTCCCATAGCATATGTGTTAAGGGTAATTTTGGAAGTACATTATTTGCGGATATTTTGTGTAAATAGGTTTTGTGTAAATGTGTATATATACATGGAGCTTCTGAATAACAAGACCATATGTGGGCTTTTTTTATTAAAGTATTGTTTAGGCCTAATTTAATACTTATTGTCCAAGTTAATTATTCAAGACATTAGTGCCCCATGGAATGTTATGGGATATTTCGTGTAAATAAGGTTATTCATATTTATTGAGTCATATTTGTGCCTATGTGTAAATTTTTAAATTTCTACATACACTAGTGCTCGAATTTTGGAATAAATGAGTTCTGACCTTGAAATTGCAAAGCACCACACGAGTTTTAACCTCAAGTAAAACTGTTTGAAAACAAGTTAGAAGGAAATCAATTGAATTTAGTTATTGGTGGTGGAGGTGATGACAATGATCGTTGTGGTAGATGTAGTGCTACAAGGTGGTGATTGTAGTAAGACAGGTGGAATGTTTTTGGGGACGGAGAGTACTATTAAAAGTAATGGCTAAGAGCTAAAAAGTTACACAAGAATAGTTTTAGTAATTAATTAGAATTTCAATCCATAAGAGGGAGGGTATCAATATCAATTACGGTTGACAAATGAGTTGCATTATTTGCTTGCGATGTACATTGTTCAATCTACTATTGTAGTATTTTAGACTTCTGTGTCATTAATTATTGTCAAGTGAGCCTGATGGTCATATCAAAAAAAAATTTGGCATTGTCATATGATGTGTAAGACCTAATCACGTGCAATCCTTGAATTTTCCCTTGTTTACCTGGGCTATGGCTGAAAATAGACTTGAATACTGGCATAAAAATTAGCACGGGTAACGCTAAAACTACCAAATTCATCATTTTGAGCATCTTCAATTTTAGCCCGAGTTACCTTTTCGAGAATCACACTCTTGGTTCTCGACCGGTCTAATCTCTTCTGGAAAACTAGACCAGACAAGTTTAATATAGTCAATAGTGGGTATATACACATAAATAAGCATGCTATTTTTTCTTTTTCGATCCATTCTTATTTGAGGAATTTATGTAAATATCACTAAAACATAATGACTTTCCCTAAATAGCACTACATGTGTTTTTCTCTAATGTAGCACTTTTAGTCATTATCCATTAGTCATTATTCAAACAAATTTTCGTCATCACTGGTCATTATGGACATTATTAAGTGCTATTTAGAGAAATGACTTACGTTTTAGTGCTATTTAGTGCAAATATTTCTTCTTATTTATAAGAAGTGTTACTGTATATAGTTATAAAATGGGTCGAGGAATCCCAAGTTGTACCCTACCTTTGTCTCAATATCTTCACAGACATCATAGACAAGTTAATATTATTTTGTGTCCATGAAACCTATATGTGAATGTAGTAGAGTCTCGAGTTGTGTTTTTTTGGCCCTAAAGCGACCTGAGAAATGTAGATTTTCCCACATTTTTTAATGAGCTTACAAGTAGTTTGTGTTTTTGTAAAAGGTCCAACTTTTAGAGTTAAAATCAGAGGTAGAGTGCAATTTGATGTTCAATCAAACAACACCAAAAGGTCCAACTTTTAGGTGATATTTATGATTAAAATTCCCAAAAAATTTCGTACAATGTATTACATTCTTCTCCATCAAAAAGTATTGTTGTACAAATATAACTATGGGAAAGAAATAAAAAAAACAATCCGAACTTATAATATGTTCGGATTTTACAACAGAAGAAATAAAAAATGAAATTAAAATGAAGTGAACGTCGGTGGTCGAAGACGAATGGATCTTGTAGCTTTTCGGCCCGGACAATGGTGATTAGAGAGAACCTGCAAACTTTGAGAAAAACGGAGTTGCCAAAGTTTTCCTTAAGATAGTATCGGCTGCCTCTCGCATTGGCTAACGTGGACGATCTTCTCCCAGGATAAAATTACTTACGTGCAAGATCTAGAGCAGTAGAATCGTGCACCGGAAAACTAGAACGAAGGAGAGTTACTCATCGGAAAATGTGACCAGAAATTAAGAGAGTTGGAACTCTTTTGAAATGTAGAGGCTTTGATCGAGTGTGTTTACTCCGCTATGAGAGGCTACTTATATATGAACGGAAGTACTTCGGCTCGAAAGTGGGCAGACAAAACGAAGAGCCCACAAATGTTTAATTTGGTCTCGTAAAAAGAAAGGAATTGGCCCACACCCACGTCACTTCACGTCTCAACGCATCGCACACACCACACGCCAACACGCGTTCGCGCGTGCGTGTTGTTTTGAGTCGGACGACGATGCATGAGGGGTCCTTTCTTTCCTCCTTCTCAAATTGCTTTAACATACAATTCAATGCTTGAATGTAAATAGTGGAAGATGAAACGTTTCTAATCCGATGTGGAATACGTGGGTTTTACTTTTTTTCAAGTGTTCGATTTTGTGAATTAATTTCTAATTTAACCGAGCACCATTTTTGGCACACAATATATCGAAACACTCGTCTTATTTGGGAGATTAATTGTCCATTATTATTTTGGAGAAAATAATTTTGTGAATCTCACCGAATTTATGTCTATAATTGTCTCGTCATAAGCCAAAAATTCCAATAAGCACAACCACACAAATGACACAATTCCACATTCTATTGGTGTTCTGTCAAACAACACCCAACAACTTAGGTCCACACAAAGTCAATTGAGTCCAATATATGAAGGGGATGGACGTACTACTAAACTAAAGAATAGAACTTTAGAATTTGGGCCAGATTCTATCTAAAGACCACACGATTAAGAAGGAGATTAAACTCAACACTAGAACTGGATCACCACATAATGGTAACCAGTGCAATAATCCTAACGATTTAAGTTACAAAGCCCAATATAATTCCATTTTTTAATAAAAAAAAAAGAATACCTCGTACAAAATGGAACAATAAATTAATACAGCAAGGTGGATGGATGGGTGACAATGCCAGATGAAGCCCGTGCCGTTTGGCAGATGAATAAAGCCGATCAAGAAGTTGCCAAAGAGAGACAAACAGTCCTTTAAGCAAGCAAAGCAAACCTTCCATTTCCATATCTCTTACTTTCATAAATATGGCTATACACTACTACTACTACTACTACATGTATCTTCATATCTTATACATATCTACATTGTATATGGATGTGAGGCTTGGAGCCTATTCCTCCCCTTCCCTTTGAAAACACATCACATACATTTACATATATAGAAACATTTGTTTTGTTTTGTTTTGTTTTGTCGTCTGGTTACCGAGTTGCGTTGGCCCACGAAGGCATCCCGAGATATGGACATGCTTGACAGACAAGCTCAAGAAACTCATGTCGAAAATGTGGTCGGGCTCGGAAAGGACCTGAGCCCCTCCCACATCCTAGCCCAAACACCTCGGAGGTGATGTCATCTAGTGACACACTTAGGTTTTAGTTGCATGGACTCAAGAAGGCAATTTTTTCCGTAGACCTAAAGTCTATGCTCATTTTATGGATATTGATGTATCTGTAGCATAAAAGAAGTGAACTTTTGTAAAAAGAGAAATATTAACATGCAAGCCCATGAAAATGTGAGAAGACCCATATATATTTTAAATGTAAACATTGGGATCATGTAAGCATCACTAATCGAAAAAACGTATACATGCCCCATTTCAATGGGGAAGGGTGATGAAAGAGCAGGTGATACAGACGAGGCTAAACTGTCAGATCTAACTAATCTGGCGACTCTTTACCATGAAAGGCATGATAAGCGCAAGAGCGAGAGGAAATTGAAGCATTTTGGGCCGCCACAGTATTTGGGTCATAACTTAGGCTACAAGTGTCCGATTATAACGGGCTAATGATTTTCGGAAAACTCTCACAAGGGTCCGATCGATCAAAGACCTTTAGGTTCCATCTTCGACCTCAAATTCAATTGTTTAGTCTGTTAAATACTTTTGTTATTTTAGGTTTTTTTTTTTTCATTTTTAGGGTGTCTTACTTGCTTACCGTTTTTTTAGTTATAAAGCCCAGTTAGTGGGCAATTCTTAGCTAGAGTTGGTTATTTTCTTTTTCAATAGGAATAAACAAATGAAACACGTAACCAGTTAGATCGACCTGAATCTGATAATATTGGGTCATGAACATATAGTTTTCAACCCGAACCTAAACTTATTCGAATCCAAAGTAACCCGAATCTAAGGCGACCGAACCTGAACCCGACCTGACTGACCGATTTGATCGCTCTAGCGCTAGGAGAAAGTATGCTAAGCATAAAATCTCTGCAAATATCAGATGTAGGCTTTATTTTCTGACATTAATTTACGATCAAAGTTTAATTTGTTTCTTATTAGTATCGTCTGGTCGAATCTAAGAGGCTCTAGAGGATGGAGTTTATCTTTTTTATTTGTGGATGTAAATTAAAACCCCAATCAAAATTTAAATTTTAAGAAGTCAAACATCAGGTGAGAACGAGAGGAGAAATTTCTCCCAAGTTTCAAGTGGTTTAAAAATTCAGAGTAAAAAAAGTGGAAAAGTGAAAGAAATTATGCTTAACCGCGTGAAACTTTGGTCACGTTTCAAACTCCAAAATGGAATGTATAAAAACACAATCATAATTTTAAAAAAAGGCAAAATGTAGCTATTGAATTGAATGTGCTAATAAAGTTTTTTTTCCTATACGTCTAAAGAAATATTATAAACTGGGAGACCTAAAAAAATGTTATTTCTTTTAATTTTTAAAATAAATAGAGCACGTCTTTTAATATTTTGAATATGTGCACTTTATGATTACATTTTCCTTTATTTATAAGAACATGTCGTATGTTTTTCTCTTCTTTAACTTTTTCTATTTTTTCTTCTATTTTATTTACATATTCTTTTTCTCATTTTTTTTTGAAGATCTTATAAAAACTTGGTGTGTTGTGTTCCCTCCCTCACTGGAAAAATTGAATAAATCTATCTTTGTATAAAGAAAGATGAAACACTATCCAAGCTTTTAGATCGAAATTTATTCCATATTTTTTGAGTAATTAATCAAATCTTAACCAACACTCTGCTCAATGTACTCGGCTCACCAAAATTCCAATATCAAGTTTTAGGATACTTTTTATTTTGAAAACCAAAAGAATAATTCTTTTAAATTTTGGGATAGATGCAACATATGTAAATATTTTTTCATTTTATTTATTTTTTATTCTGAATTTGAATAATTCTAGGATTTCTAAAATATTTTTAAAAATTAAAAAATATCTACAGAAAAAAAAAATGAAAACTAATCAAAGAGATAGATAAGTTAAAAAAATATTAGAGTCACATACACGTAATTCATAAAATTCACAAATTTATTTTAATTAGATTTCAAATAAAAATATCATTTATTATTTAGATATATTTTATTTCTGGTAAAATATTAAAAATATTTTATTGCATTTGGATTTTGTGAACCTTTTTCTCTATAGCTCTATAAGTTTAAAAAACAGGCATAGTAGAGCTATCAGCCCCATGTTTAAAAGTTAAACCTCCAAATTTCACAGTCCCGTGCTTGAAAAGGCTAGAGAAAAAGGAACTACATACTTGCAGCATTCCTCACAGATCTGGCCGGTTCTCATCCTCCTCCGCCGCCGCCGCCGCTCGAAAATGCCCGGCGATTCCGACTCGGAGGTAGGCAGCCCAATCCACATAACGGCGCTGGACGGAATAATACACGTCAACTCCCTGTTCACATTCGCCGTGTTCGTCGGGCTGGCCTGGAACCCCCGAGATCCGAACAACCGGCTCACCGACGACCCGAATTGCCAGGCCGGGCCGAAAATCGCGGAGAACATGGTGTCGTTCCACGTCATCTCCTTCGCCTCCTTCCTCTTCTCCAGCCTCGTCTCCCTCTGCCTCAAGCAGGCCCTCCGATGGCCCAGATCCGGCAACCACCACTCCGTCTTCTCCGTGGATTTGGCGCGCGTGAACAGGACTGCCGTCCGGGTCGGGTACGTGGTTTGCGCCGCGGGTTCGGTGTCCGGATGCGTGTGTTTGATGCTTGCATTGATGTATCTGGTTCAGATCAAACTGGGAACCCTAGCCTGTGGGAGCCGCCATAGCTATGAAGCCGTCGTCCCTCTCTTTCTCCTGGTTCCCTTTGGACTCTTCGTTTATGTGGGCTTCATTTTATATGCTTTTTTCAGTCGTTAATTCTTGCTTCGTTTTGTAACACTCACTTTTAATGTTGGTGTTTTGATTGAAAAACTTATGTAATCGAAGAATTCGTTTTTATTGTTAATTTATGATATTAAAATCTTATCTAAAACGTTATTTTCAAATCATTAAGTCTCTCTACCACATGTTTTATGTCGGACATTTGGATTGACCCATTGTAGTATTACTCTATTGATAGTTGATTTAAGTTTGAACTTTTATTTGATTTGTTGAATCGGGTGTGTTCGGGTCGGGCTAGGGGTTAGGGGATAAGAATCGTCAATTTTACGAACGGGGCATCAGAGCGTCTCCAGTTGTTGGGACTGCGTGTACCCTCACCCAACCCCGCATTAGTATGATATTGTCCGCTCTGGGCCAAGTCCTCACGGATTTGTTTTTGGGCACTTCCCAAAAGGCCTCATACTAATGGGATTGGGTGAACCTATATATTTTGGTTCATTTACTCCTACTCATCCGGTGTGGGACTTGGAGGAATCCCAACAAACCTCCCCTCATCCAAGGACCACACAACTTCCGACCTCCCCTCCAGCGGTAATCCTTTTTTTTCTCTTTATCTGCTAACCATCTTGCACCGCCGCACACTCTTTGCGGGACACGCCGCCCGACCTCCTGTCGGGAAGACTTTCGACGCAAGGCTCGAACCGCAGATCTTTCCTTCGCTGGGCTACACCATTTGATCCGCCAAATCATCTTGTACCGCTGTGGCTATAACTTCACGGGACGCGCCGCCCGACCTCCTCTCGTCGGGAAGACTTTCGACACAAGGCACCACCTGCAGATCCTCTTTCTTGGTCTTGGTCCTAGTTACACCGTCACACCGAGATTTTTCCACACTGCACTGTCCGCTACTCCCGCCCGCAAGAACCTGGGCTCCGATACCACACGTTGGGACTGCGCGTACCCTCACCCCAACCCCGCATTAGTATGATATTGTCCGCTCTGGGCCAAGCTGTTAAATATAGTATGTATATATTTAATATTAATTGTGTAATCATTGTATACATGGTAGTTTACTTGTATAGGAATCTTTCCGTAGTTAGGATCTTCCTGTATTATATATACGAGGCTTAGCCCTCTGTTAATAACATAGAAAATAATAATTCTTCATGGTATCAGAGCCTTTGTTCCGCTCTCTCTCTTGTTCGACCAAACCCTAGCAGCGCCGCATCTCCCGAGCGCCGCCTTCTCTCTCTCTCTCTCTCTCTCTCTCTCTCTCTCTCTCTCTCTCTCTCTCTCTCTCTCTCTCTCTCTCTCTCTCTCTCTCTCTCGGCCGAACTTCAGGAGCGCCGCTCTCACAGTCCGGCAGTCTCCCTCTCATTCTCCTATCTCCTTTCACAGTCCAGCAGTCTCTCTCTCTCTATCAGCCGAACTTCAGGGCAGACTCACCACCATGTCTGAGAAAGCTCCGGTCACCAACACGGCATCATCATCTTCGACCCCTCACTTGGCGTTCACAACCATCTCCAACGTCAAGCCTCATGTGC